TTGGGGGGGTAGAGGAAGAACATTATATATATATATAGTATATACATGGGTGAATGTGCAGTAGTAGCAGCAAGCAGGTGAATTCTGTACATTAATATGAATAGACATCTGACTATTTTACAGGATAGACAATATAAACATATTATAAAATATATAAGGAATGTTGAAATGTACATTGTGCCTTGGTTTAGCTAGTCCTGTCAGAATGAGTTACTCATTAGAATAATGAGCTCATCAGGGGGATTGTAAAATTATGATATTATTTTATGCCATGTTAGACCCCGAAATAAAGATTGTGAATTATTATGTAGTTTAAGTTGGCATTATTCTCCTGAATTAGAAGAAGGTGATAATTATTGCAGTATTTAAACTGATTTGCATTACATTAGACTGCTGATTTATTGTGAATGAATGATATTGTTTATGATGCATTATACTGTTGAGTTATAAGGAATACTGTTCGCAGAAAGTCATCGCCTTATTTGTCTGATTAGAAGAGAATAGAACATGCTGGAGTTTTCTGCCCCATCTCAGCACGAGCAGATAAACAGGGAGCCAAGGTCGTAGCTTAGGCGCCGTGTGAGAGAAAGAATGTGAATGTTTAGGCTTTTATGATAAGATGGGAGAACCAGAGGCTATAAGAGTTTGAGCAATGCTCCACCACTTTGAGATTTGAGGCTGTCTGCATCAGTGTCCATCTCCCACGTGTGTGATCATTAAATCATCGTTTGACTCAACCCGACCGGACCAGTGTTGTTATTGTGGTTTTTCTCTTGTCTCCATCCCCAATATTTTGAACCTTAACATTTTGGGGGCTCGTCCTGTGGTATTGGGGTGGAATTTAAAAGTTTGGACGGTCCGAGGTTGTCGAACGGACAGGCACGAGCCAGTGGTCTGATGTGAGTGGGCAAAAGCCGGCTTATCTAAAGGTAAGGCACTACCTGTTGAATTATTTCCAAAGTGTGCCGAATTGGATATGACTAAATTAAAGTCTACTCACTGAAATTACTGGTAGAGGGTCTGTTTTGATTTTGATGAGAATCACCGTGTGTTATGCAGTTAAAGTTGCTTAAGAGTATTTAATGAAGTTGAAGAAATATGAAGTAATAATGTTGGGTTTGAGTCCCTGGATATTGAGTTAAAGGCTCAGGTAGTTTGGTAGGGAATTGGTCATGTTGTTGGTTAAAGTCCAAATTGGCTATAAGTGTGGTCCTGTGTGATTATAAGTGAGGGTTGGCTCCATTGACCTCTAGGTGGCACTTGCCTTAGTCAGACTCTTGTTTTAGGGTGTTGACTGTTGTTTCAAATTGTTACAAATTATTATAGGACGGCACCAGAAGTTGCTAAGAAGCGCATAGCCCGGAGGTTACGCTCCCTCCTGGCCGTGGACGCGCGGCCTTGACCTGTCGGCGAACAGGGTTAGTTCAGTTTGGCTTAACTGTGGGGTACAGGGCATCCCGGAATCAAGCTAGGAGTTAGAGTCTCCTCACCGTTTTAAAGGTGTCATGTGCTTTTTTGGATACTGTTAAATTGAGTTAGGGATTTTAGAAATTAGGTCAGAAACTGTTCCAGAAGTAACAGATACTGTTTAATTGATTACAAAAAAGTTACTTTCTTCGGTTGGACCCGTTATGGTTAAATTTGTCGAAATTTGTTAGGTGCTGAATCTGTTAGGCCTGTCAGTGATTGTAAATACAAGACGTCTTTTGTAATATAAAATAATAGAGTTTTGCCTGAGCTTGGTGTGACGACTGTGTGTGACGTGCAGCTGCGGCGCTGAGGGCTATTTTTAGACTGTGTGTGAACATGCAAATGAGCTGTGAACTACACAGAGGACTTTTGCTTAGCGTTTTTTTTGCACATGTCGAGGAGCGTGTCAGGCTACATTTCACTGTGTGTTATACTTGTATAACTATGCATGTGACAAATAAAGAACCTTGAACCTTGAACTTGAACATGTCAACAACCAAACCTTTGGTGTGAACTGAAACACAGTGAGTGTGTGCAGGACTGTTGAATGCTGAAGTTCACCGGTGGAAAGTAGCTGAATATGTCTCTGTGTGTGTGAGACAGAGAAAGGGCAGAACTGGCATCATACGAACAGGAAAATAGTTTTTAATCTTTTCAGACTGTGGGTTAGTGTGCAGATAACCACACAGACATCAAATGAGCTTTGATGACATGTGGGAGGATCCACTACAGACAGGTGTCAGCTCTGATCATCCAATCAGAGAAGATGAATCTAAAAGTCATCAGCTGACTCCAGCAGCTCCCACCCGTCTGCTGAAGATGAATCCAGGGTTTTAGAGGCTGAGTGCTGTCTGTAGGTGAATGTATGTGGAACCAGTAGAAGTGAAGAGTCTCCCCGCTTAGATACATTATACATTTATGCTGAATAAAGTAGAATATTTAAAAAACCTCTAAGTTAGAAATGCCAAAAACACAAGCACATTTTTAGAAAATATAACATTTGTTCATTCATATGCTGATGGCATTCAGATCTATCTTCAGCTGAAGGGAAACAGTGCGGCCTCACTAGAACCCTTACTTCAGTGTCTCGGTGAAGTTACATCCCGGATGGCCTCTAACTTCCTTAACTTCAGTGAGAACAAAACTGAAGTGATCTTTTTGGACCGAGCGGCAATCCCAGCACCTCCCATTTTAACCTGCACAGTCTTGAGCCTTTTATCAAAAATTTGGGGGTTATATTTGACAGCAAGTTCACCTTTGAAAAACCGATTAGCTCAGTCGTACAGCGGTCTTTCCTCAAACTGAGGCTTTTATCCAAGGTGACATCATTTTTATCTTTTAAAACCTTTGAACGAGCGATTGATGCTTTTATTATATCCCAGCTGGACTATTGTAACTCCTTATATGCTGGAGTCAGCCAGACCTGCCTGGCAAGGCTGCAGTTGGTCCAGAATGCTGCAGCTCGTCTTCTGACACGTACCAAAAGATGTGAACATATTTCCCCGGTGCTTGCCTCCCTTCATTGGCTTTATGTCCACTTCAGAATTTACTTTAAAATGTTACTGTTGACTTACAAAGCCCTGAATGGACAGGCTCCCGGCTGTTTGTCTGACCCCCCTTAGATCTCTTAGGTCAAGTGATCTTTTGCTTTTAGCTGTACCAAGGTCGAGGCTGGTTCACAGAGGTGATCGAGCATTTGCAGTCAGCTGTGGAAGTTGTGGAATAATTTACCCCTACACATCAGACAGGCTCATACTGTCAATCTTTTTAAATCTTATCTTAAAACACATTTTTATTTACTGGCTTTTAATACAACATGAGAGTTATTTGCTAATTCATATTTGGTGTTTGCTATCAATAGCATAAGTTACCTTGGTATGTTGTATTCTTGCACAGCGCTTTGGTCGAAGTTTCTGTTGTAATTAAATGTGCTATATAAATAAATAAACTATAAACACGTCCCACAGAGGAGGATGAACGGTGCTGAGAGAGAGCAGAATAAAAACAGAGTCTCAGTACTGTCAATGTTTAATCAGCATTCACACTAATAACGATCTGGACCATGGTGGTTTATTACCAGCTGACACTGAGCCTGACTGAAACACTCCACTCAGTGTTTGTCCTCTGATTTCTCAGCATCGCTTTGCTGTTTCCATTTACAGACCAGACACTAACACTTCATGGTTCAGTCTGCATCTCTGCCTGTAATGCTCACCTCCTCTGAGGACGATGCAGCGTCAGAGGAACCACAACAAAAATAAAACGTGTCTGCCATGTTTGAAATGAGGCATCAACAAATCCAGTGGCGTGCAGCTGTGCACAGAAGCAGCTCATGTGAGTCTCCATCTCATTTCAACAGGTCTCTCCTCTGTTCCTCCTGTGGGTCTTCAAGACCTGGACTGGGTCAGGACCAGCGCACCAGCACCTGGTCTCCATCCTCTATGGAGTAAAACTGCAGTGTTTTCAGGTCACTGTCGATCTCGAACTCTGTCCCCACCATCTATAAGAGCAAGAACATTTTACTGTCCCACAGTGGCATGTTCAGACTGAACATGGAGGCACAAACAAGAAAACCAGTGAACGTGTGTGCTGCTCTCTGTGAAGGCCACGGGGCTCCTGCCTTTACTGAGTGTGCTACCTTGGGGCTGGTGTAGGTGAGCCTCAGATCTGCTGCAGGGACCTTGAGCAGCCTGTACAGCAGGCCCTTCACCTTCTGCACAACCATGGAGGCTACAGTACAGAAACACATGCCACTGTTTATGTGCAGAGCTCCACAGACAGATGAGAGCGCTGATAATCTAATGAGAGTCGAGGCTTTGAGCTCGTACCTGGAAGTTTCTTCTCCAGTGGTTTGCGGTTAGCATCGTCCGGAAACACAAAGGTAATCTCTGATGAAGGAAGGACAATGAAACTGTCTTTGATTCACGTTCATTCGTGGAGCCACTCAGACAGCAGAAAGGGGCGGGACTTACTTAACAGCTGATTTTTCAGGGCAAAAGGCTCCGGCTTCCTCAGCTCGCCTTCCTCAGGAGCGCCATACTCTGAGGAACAGGAACATGGAGTTAGTGACTGAGACCATGTCAGTAATAATAAAGCTGGAGCTGTCTCAGGTCATCTGACCCCACAGCCTGACTTACTGCTGATGAGGGCCTGATAACGAGGGTGTTCACAGATGAACTGAGGGCTGGGCTGACTCCGCCCACCCGCCTTTAGCCACTCCTCTCCAAACATCTTGATATAGTCGAGCTCCGCTCCCCTCCTGTCGTCAGCGTGAATCTGAAGAAAAGCCCAGCAGCTTGAGCACAGGACAGCACCGACATGATGCCCAGAACTCATACACAAGAGGCGGGGCTCTGCGGCGCTCTAATCTGTCACACAGCAATCTGAAGACGTGTCAGGACACAGCGTCCGCACGTTTCCAAAGCATCGGCAGAGTCCTCACAATCGAGCTCACCTCGCAGCTGTTCAGCACAACCAGCTGTCCCAGTTTAGCGATCAGCATCTGATTGGCTGTTTTCGGGTTTCCATCCCTGCTCACCAGCTTGTTGCCACGGCAAGAAAGCCGGACCAAACTGGGAAGTTTGGCCAGCTCGTTCACCACAAACCACTAAGTGAGAAAGAGAAACACTTCCTTTAAACTGGCGTAGAGTTTATTTTAAATAACGTCCAATCACAAAGCTGGACAGAAGAACAAAAATGACACGACCGAGCCGGCGTAACGTGGAGACAGCCTCAGCACCCACGCTGGATGTAACAGTGACTGCATGAAACACGCAGTCTGGAGCTGCTGCTGTGTGTCACAGTGCAACCTTCGCCCACAGCACTGCAGTGTTAGACAGCTTCCAGACTGGCTTCACTCCAGTCTACAGAAGTACACTTACACCAGTGTAACAACAGTTACAACAACACAAGCAGACACAGTCGCAGCTGTTGACCGTTTCTATGGCAACACGTTTCACTGACCTGAAGCTAAAGTTATTTCTAGCATGTTTGATGTTTGTTAGTTTTGTAACCACAGAACAATGTTGCAGATGTTTGTGTTCCAGTGAAACGTCGGTCACAGTTCTGGTTAACCACAGCAGCCGTGTGCTGGTGCAGGAACACACTGACCTCAGTGATGCTGTTGTGGTCCAGGTTGAGGTTCTTCAGCGCTGCATACGCGGCTGTGTGAGACCCTGCAGAGCAGAGACTGTCACTGACACGTTTGCAGTCGCACAGAAAGCTGTTCTACACACACAAAAGGACAACAGATGCTGTTAGGCTGGAAACTGTGTCGTTACCGGGGGCAGCATCTTCAAACCGAATGACAGACAGTCCGGTCTTGGATAAATTCAGCTGCTCCAGCCTGCCACGAGAAACACACCAGAGTCACTCCAGCTGCTTTTATTAAACAACAAACAGAAAACTGTGACTATGGTGCAAACGCCGTAAAAATCCCTCCTAAAATCAGACCAAGTACTGGTTTTTGGGTGTGTGGGATCACCACTTCCACCTAGAGCTGCAGGGGGCGGGGTAAAATCCCTGCTGTGGCCGCTGGGTTGCCTAGCAACACAGCTGTTTCCATATATTTTGACAAGATGCTGCTCTAACATGAGCTAGAGCTAGCTAGCTAAATATACAGAGGACTGCAGTTCAACAGAAGGGCTGAGGATGGCAGTCTAGAAACAGAGCAGCCGGACAGGGTTCACAGCTGAGCGCAGCACACATGTACAGACATGACCCGACTCAGTGATAGAACCTGAAACAGAAAATAAATGGCATGTTTCCCACTCGTGCTGCTGCAGGACGGAGCAGTCCTCACTGCGTGAGTTCATGCACGCAGTCTGAAACCAAAGCAGTCAGAGAAACGCACGCATGCTGCTCAGCATCAGGTTAACTGACAGTGGAGCTGCAAACGTGTCTGCATGGATGAACTCACACTGGACACAAGCACGTGCAGCACGTTACATCGACGCGTGGCTGACACTTCGTACTGTACCTGGGCAGAGCAGATAAACTGAGCACGCTGTCCTGCACCAAAGGATTACTGGACAAGCTCAGACTCTTCAGCGACTGCAGCAGTCCCTCAGGCCTGTAAACAGACACAGCACAGCTGGTTTCAGGCAGCTTTGAGTGAAAACACACATCTAAAGGCAAGGCAGGGCACACAGAAGATGATGATGATAAAGTGTTACCTCTGCAGCTCTGTGATGCTGTTTTCTTCCACACACAGGTCCTCCAGCTGTGGCCACATGGGAGCGCATTCCAGAATCTGAGAGGAAAGCAAGATCAGAGGCGGAAAAGAGATTTCATTTAAACAGAAGCAGTTCATCTAAAGACCCAACACTGTCCATGATGAGAACGGACGACCCACGAGAATCTGGCCTCAGCGGGGAGGAAGAACTCCCTTTGAAGAGGAAGAGACTCGAGCCAGAAGCAGGTTCAGCGGGAAGAGGAGAAGAAACATGACAGAAAGAAAATGACTGAACGCAGCAATGTGAGTGGTAGAGAACAGAAAAAGAGGGAACGCTTTAAATTCTCCTTTCTTTAAACTTTAAGTTAGTGTACTCTTTGATGTGAATGTTACCCCGGAGCTGAAACACAAAAGTAAATATAAGTGCCACAGCGCTGCGTACCTGTGGCCAGGTGAGCTGGCAGCCGTTGAGCACAACGACTTTGAGGGCTGAGAAAGCGTGGCGTAGAGCCGAGGGGTCAGGGGGCAAACGGAGTCTGTTGTAACTGAAGACAGAAACACAACACAATGTTGAGTGGAAGGAAAGCGTGGCCAAACAAAGTGTCCCACACACCCACACCTGAGCTGCAGTCCTTCCAGTCTGTCCAGCTGCTGGCTGATGGTGGCCACATCCTCCCAGCACGACATCAGAGTCCCAGTCAGGTCCAGCCACTCCACATCTGATCAGCATGGTTAAGGTGTCGCATCCACACTGCTCGCAATCACAACCTGACAGACTCTGAGAAATGGGAACGCTTTGTGAAGCTCACACATCCTGAGTGCCAGTAAAGCATCCAGCACCGTCTGTAGAAGGATACTGGGAGTTGTGGTCCTGATTTCCCCATCAGCACCAGACCAGCTCACGTCAGAGCGGCTCAGCAGCACTGAGGGAAGGCTCTCAAAACTGCACACACACAGACACACAATACAAAGTGTGCAGGTTTATAACAGGAGTGAAAACTGTGAACACAAAGGCTGTGACTGTTTCTGAGTGGACACACATGCAACTGATGTCTTGGATCTGACTGTGGGAACAGCCCTCAGACTGTGACGAAACACATCCTGAGACACAGACCAAACGAACCCCAGAGGCTGGATTCACACAGTAATGACTCGGTGCTGCTGTTCATCTCAGGCTGTGTTTACTTAGTTATGAGACCTGATGATTTTATGATGCCTGACTATATAAAACCTTAGACGTGTGAGCTGTGTCTCAGGTGACTTTCATCTTCCTCCTCGCTTCATCAGCACTGACTCTGCAGCTCAGCTGAGCGTCATAACACATGCATTACTGCAGGTGGATGCTACCAACAACTACCAGGCGACAGAACTGAAGCTGATAACATCCTTATGATATTTTGCTCTAATAGCACAGCTGTGTGACGCTCTTCTCCTGACCACACAGCATCGTACCCACGCTCCTTGATGTTCCCCCACTTGAGCTTCTTCTTGGAGATGGAGATCTCCTCACTCAGCACCTCCTCGGAGTCGATCTTGTACTCCTGTCGCACGGCGGTCAGATAGTCCACTCCAAAGCTCACCTTTGCCGGACGGACGAAGGAGCCTCCTGTGGGGTGTCTGAGAACAAAGGGAACGTATCAGGACATTTTCACAGAAGACTTTATAAAGTAATTATCTCACAGGAGGCGTGCAGGCAAAGCACGCTTGAGCACTTTACCTGCACGTGAAATACTGCACTCCCTCGTGGCTGCCGTCATGTTTGCCTCTGTCGGGGTTGTCCCACTCCACACCCAGCCACAGACCTACAAACCACAAAACAAACACACAGCTATACTAATGGCAACGCAGTGATGCAAGCATGTGGTTAAATCTGCTTCATCGGTGTGATTTCATCCGTGTACTCGGACTGGACATGTATCGAGAGAGGGGGACAGGAAAAAGCCCCGCCCCCTCCCAGCTTTCCTCCCTCTCTGCGTCCAGTCTGTTGGGTTTGAAATGACACAGGCTTTGTCACGGTACACTGTTGCTAAAAGTCAATCATATTTATTCTTAATCAAAATATAAGTTTGATCAATATGTTAAATGACAAATGTGAGGCAGCTGGGCCCTATGACCCCTATGAGCAAGCACTTGGCGACGTTTGGAAGAAAAACTCCCTTTTAACAGGAAGAAACCTCCGACACAACCAGGCTGTAATCTGCTGCAACTGGTGGTGGTGAATAAAAGACTATTGGAGACAGACCTACAGTGATATAATCGTGTAATAATTACTAACGATTAACTGGAGGAGTGACCTGATAACATGGGAATCCCCGGCAGCCTACGTCTATTGCAGCATAACTAAGGGAGGATTCAGGGTCACCTGGTCCAGCCCTAACTATATGCTTTAGCAAAAAGAGAAGTTTGAAGCCTAATCTTGAAAGTAGAGATAGTGTCTGTCTCCTGAATCCAAACTGGAAGCTGGTTCCACAGAAGAGGGGCCTGAAAACTGAAGGCTCTGCCTCCCATTCTACTTTTAAATACTCTAGGAACAACAATAGGCCTGCAGTCAGTATGATGCTCGTAGCAAACATTTCATGATCAAAGTCTTTCTGTCATACTGACTGGCTCTGTGTGTTCGCGGTTTATGATGTTCATCCATGCGTGATCAGGTAAGAGGTACAACCCGGGTCCTACCTGCTGTGGGGGGTACAGGTCCAAAGTAGCGCACTGTGGCCCGCTCCCCGCCGCAGGACACCCGCTTACCCACCGCATCCACCGGCACCTCCGCCTCGTCTACTCCCATGGAAGCTACGAAGAAAAAAAACTAGAGCCACTCTGTAGTTCTTCTCCAACAGGAAGCAGCTTACGCTACATTTAAGTGTAATAAGTAAATACTGCACATTTCCGGTATGTCACTGTTTGGATAGCTTATTGTGTCTTTCTGAAAAATGAGAAACATGTAATGTTTGAAAAATGCAAACTTAATGTGAAATCATACACACCTTTGATAAATGTCGCGTTTGCTGCGGAACAGTCACTCAGCCTGCCCCCACCAAAACATCCTGCAGCTGCGTCACCGGATGGGACCTATTTCAACGTCGTACCGTTTTCCCACAAACCTTTTTCTAAAAGGAAGTTATACCACGAAGGAAATATACTCACTGACACGTTACGTGTGTCTGGTCCTTTCCTATAAATCACCCCAGTTTAGTTATACGGTACCAAATCAGCCTAAAGCTAGAAAAAGCATAGGAACCTTTGTAGGGCTTTGCCGTGTTCCTATGGGGAATATTTCGAAGTAGGACAGCGGTCCACTCGGATAGAAAACGTGTGGCTGTGTTGTAAGGTTTACTGGAGTTTAGGCCATTCAGTAAACATTTATTCCAGATAAAAAAGAAGAGGGGAAGCCATGAAGAAGAAAGCCCACAACAGGTTTGTTTACACACACTTTAATAACACGAGTGAAAATATCACGACGATTAGTGAGATAACGTTCAGAACTCAGACTTGAGCCTTCGATCTGGGGGGACCGGTGCTCCCAAAGAAACAAAGCCAGCATCAGCAGTAGACCCCCGCAGGGTCCAGGTTTTTCACTCGGTTGTTTGTCTGCTGGAGGAGCCATGAGCTCCTACTGAGCAGGAACCCAGATCCTCTCCAGAAGTTCGGCGATGGACTTCTGTGTCCTGGATCCTTTGGATTTCTCCGAATCCAACAGTTACAAAGGGCAGCGTAGGAGGGTCTCTGTAGCTGAAGGAGTGACCCAAGACTTCCCTGCTTCTTTGTGTACAGATATGAACGAGCACACAGCTGTGCCAGCTCAACTAAATATGGCACAAAAAGTGTTATCGCCTGTTAACTTCAGTGGTTCTGTCCTCTGCAGAGAGGTGTCGCCAGGACAACAGTCAGCTGACTACACAGTGGGTCAGGTGTCAGGAAGCTTATTCCAGAAGAACTCTGCAGCCTCTGGATCCCTGTCGGCTTTATTCAGCACAGCAGCAGCATCCACAGCGCTGCTGTTCAAGCCTGCGCCTCTGGTGAGCGCAGCACACAACCAGCCCGTCTGTGACTGCGTGTTTGACCACCAGTCGAAACTAAATCTGTAAAAACCAAGAAAATCTGTCTTCTTCTATTGTGTGTCATGACTTATTTATTGTAAGGTGTCTTTAAGACACGCAGAGGTGCATTAACCTTCGCTGAGCTTGATGAAGTGTTTTTCTTTATTAGAGTTTGTGCGTTTTATTTTCAAACTTTTAGTGAGCGCCTCTAATGCTAATGGATTATTTAAGAGGGAGGAAATGACTGAAGTGTCTTTTTGTGTTATGATGGCAGCCGGTTCAAAAAAGCACAGAAACCAAAGAGCAGAAGCAGAAAAGCCCACAGGTCAAAGGTCAGCCACGCCAGGAGAAGAAGAAGCAGCCAGCTAAGGAGAAATCAGCAGCCAATCAGGAGCTGGAAAAAAGGTGAGTGTTAATTTCTTTTTCCCCAGTTTTTTCTTGATTCAAGTCTCTTCTCAAACCCGTTTGTTTGAAGTGTTCATTTGGTTTCAGAGAGAGTGGTTTACAAAAGGCAGACGAGGATGAGGACGGGCCAGAAAAACCCAACAGGAAGAGGAAGAGACAAACCTCCGAGTCGGGCAGAGAGAACGACACAGAGTACTGGGTGATGAAGAGACAGAGGCTGAAGGCCAGCAAGGCGCAGGAGACCTTGAAGAAGAAAAGGACTGTGTTTGTCGGCAACCTTCCCATCAGCTGCACCAAGAAGGTTTATTTAGTTTCTTTGTTTTACCCACCTGTATCCATAGTGACCGTCTGACTGTATCTGACACTAGCAGTCTGCATCCATAAACTACATTGACGTAACATGCAGTGTAGTTTAGTGCTGAGGTGCAGACTAACACAGTACTGGAGTTTCTGCCTCCTCAGACGCTTTAGCTTCAGTTTCTCTTTAGTGTCAGTTTCCCTGCGTGTTAGCTTCAGCAGCCAGGCGCCACTCCTTCCTCTGTGAGCCACCTCGCTGTTTCTCCTTATGTGGAGAATGGAGAAGACGAGACACAGCCGTGTTTGTTTTAAATGACCCTCGTTCAGTCACGTAGGCGCAGTAACAGGAGCAAATATGGTCATGAGTCAGATGGCACTTTAGATGCACTGAGACGCTGTACACACTCAGTATTGAGCCTCAACGGTCTGACCTCAGACTGAGACTTGTGGATGAAGCTGTGGGACGATAACAAGGAGAAACTGGTTAAGCTGAGGCAGCCAGTCTGATCTGCAACCTCTGGAAACGCTTGTTGGACGTTTTAACTTCTAGCAGGTGTTTATGTGACAGAGTGAAAACACAACTGTACTGTGGCTCTTTCCAAGATCTTTCAGGAGACGTGCAAATTGCTTGTTGTGCAATAATTGCAGTATTTATAGGACAATAATAATGTGGAAGTTCAAAGACTGGCAACCTTTTTTGTTCCTTCTCAGACCCTGCGGAGCCTCTTCAGGGATAAAGGATCCATCGAATCTATTCGCTTCCGCTCTGTGGTAAAAACACCTCTGAAAGAAAGAGAGAGTCGCCAGGTTGCTGCAGCTTCTCGTCTTCAGTAACATTGTGTTTCATTCCAACAGGTCAGAGAGGACCCCTCCATGTCTCGTAAAGTAGCTGCTATCAAGTGAGTTTCTGAAAGTTGTTTATTTTTTAATCCTGAGCTTTCACTAGGTTCCACCAACAAACTAATAGTATGGTTTCAGTTGACTCCTTTCCATTTGTACCAAAAAGCTTCTTTTCACTTCGCAGGCGCAAAGTCCACCCAAAGAAGCAGAGCATCAATGCCTACGTAGTGTTTAAAGATGAAGATGGCATCACCAAAGCTTTGGAGAGGTCAGACGCTCCTCCTGAAACCTGCTAATGCTGTAAGACCCAAACATACACGTGCTGATAGAGCTCTTTCTGTCTGTCTGCCCTCACAGGAATGGCATGGAGATAGAGAAAGACTTTCACATCCGAGTGGACAGAGTGGCCGACAGCTCATCTGTGAGTCAGCAGACGTCCCAGAATGCTCTGCTGTATCTGTCTCCTGGCAGTTAAACTGAAATCCTGTTGTTCTCTTTCAGCACGACCACAAGCGTTCTGTTTTCGTGGGGAATCTCTCATTTGGTGAGTTCGTCAGTAGAGTTCCAGACAGTGGTAAAGGTGTAGTTGTCCATGAGTGAGTAGTTTGAAGCTCAAGCCAACCTGCTGTGTCTGCAGACATCAACGAGCTGACTTTTCGAAGGCATTTCGAAGAGTGCGGGACAGTGGAGGCGGTGCGACTGGTGCGAGACAAGAACTCGGGCTTGGGGAAAGGATTTGGTTACGTCCTGTTTGAGGTACAAGAGCTCGGAGACGATCGTGGTTCTGGAGTAACAAATAATAATGTTGGATTGCATTTAGAGCTGGGCGATAGAACGATAACGATATGTATCGCGATATAACTTTTACTCGATAGAGAAATTAAGCTATCGCGATAGACCTCGCCGCTCTTGTCCTCTTAAAAAAAAAAAAAAAAAAGGTCAGCCAATCCAAATTAAGTAGCGCAGAGCCGAACCAATCACAGCCGCAGCGTCACGTCGCGTGACTTGTTACGTACAGCACAAGTGCCAAGCCGCACGTGTGTTTGTTTGGGAAGCAGCCAGCGGGTAATGGAGGAAATGAGTGTGCCGACTAGAAAAATCAACCGAGCGTGACCGAAGAGAAAACAGATGATGGTTCCAACGCCGGAGAGATTGTCGAACGGAAGAGCCATAGAAGTTCCGTAGTGTGAAGGTATTTCGGCTATTTCAAGTCTGACAAAAAACAGAGTAGCGTGCACTGTAAATTGTGCCGAAAGCAAGTCTGGAAATACAATAAACTGGTGCATGCGTCACACTGTGCGCCACGTTATTGTTTCGGTGAAATGAATTTCTACAATACTGTTACTGTTAATTCTACTCTCTGCAGTGTTTAAATGCTTACATATACACACAGTTACTGTCCCTCCACACATACGACTCGGTTCTGCTTCTATGCCCCAGCTTTGTTTACTTTTTCCCACCGAGGCTTCTAGACTTCTGATTGGCCAACATTTCTGCACGGTTAGGAATCTAGCGCCACCTGCTGCTTTGGCATGTTCATAGCAGCGTTTTCCTTCATTTCTGCCTTTATGTGTGGACGGGATTATTTTTTAAAACGAAAACGGAAAATCTCCGTTTTCAAAAATACCCGTGTACGTGTGGACGTAGCCTCAGTCTCTGACTGGAAGCGCTAATTCGTCATTCGGCTTTTGTCAGACTAAAGTAACTGTTAAAACTGTTTGAAAAGCTCAGCTATACAACAAGGAGAGATTGAGAATTTCCTTTTAGTTCTCAGTTTATTTGATATTGACAAAAGTTAGTCAGTTTTGTCTGTTCTTCTGTAAAACAAACTAAGATTTATTTTTAGAATTAATATTTTGTTTCTAAGTGGAATTGACAATTTAGTCTGTTTCGTTTGTTCTATTTTGAAACTTAAACGCTTTAGCGGCTGCCTTTTGTGTAGTTTGCAATATTTGCCTTTATTTATCTGAAAAAGTCTCATGTTCCTTAAGTACATCTACCCTGTTGAACTTATTATGGGAAATAAATATTTAAATAAAAACAAGCTGCTGATTATTTCACATTTTACTTGTGAGCAACGGCACATTTAAATCTTACAAATATAGTTATTTGGCTTATATCGTGATAGATATCGTTATCGCCTGAAATGAAAAAAACATATCGTGATATGAAAAAATCTCATATCGCCCAGCTCTAGATGCATTTATATTTCGCTTTTTGAGACGCCTGTGGCAAGGCTTGGGATTTCTAACTGAATACGCATCACTGCAGGGTTGTCCTCTGATGGCTGGTGACAAAAGTCAGTCCATGTTTAAACAGTACAGCTTTGGCTATGAAAAAAAGAAGATTTATTCATAACACACGTGAAAACACCCAGGAAAACAGAGTTAACGATAAAAACGATAACAAAATAACACTGAAAACCGATAAAAACCCTGAAAACCAGACATTTCACACCTGAGCCTCAACTCTCGCAGCCCGGCACCAAACGACTCACGGACCGGTACCGGTCCGAGGCCCGGGGGTTGGGGACCGCTGACCTATACTGTGTACTCATACTTTGGGAACTTTAAGGTCTAAAAGCACAGAATTAGAATAAATTAGAATCCACAATAGACTGTGTGCCATTGATGGGCGTAGCCAGTGTGACATCAGCCAGTGGTTTTTCCATTCTACAGTTTTTAAGCGTCAGTATTGGTGCTTTGGTCAAAGTAGGCCATGTGTTTCTACACTTCATTTTGTCTTCCTTGTGCAGAGTACCGATTCTGTGCAGCTGGCGTTGAAACTGGACGGCTCAAAGCTTGAGGGCAGATCCATCCGGGTGAAGAGGTCACTGAAGAAGGAGAAGCAGAAGAGTAACGGTGATGGCAAAGCAACAACAAGGAAGACCGGCAAGACTCTGAAGACGGGTTCTGGACGGGAGAGGGCTGCTGGTCGAGGAGCTTTCAAGTCCCCAAGGAAGGTGATGGGAAACCAGCGCAAGTTGAGCAGAAGCTCCGCTTCTTTCAAAGGAGAGATGGCAGATCCAGACAAAAAGACTAAAAAGAAAGCACTGAAGAAAAAGAGAGTGAAGCCAGAAAAGTCTGTTCATATTTAAACTGAGGACAGAAAAAGCATGTGGTCGCTGTGATCAGAGTCGTTTGGAAGAGCAGCAGGTTCAGAGCCCGACTCCAACACAGCTGACATCCAGGCAGCTAAACAAGAACTTCCTCTGCCCAGCATAAAGTCACAGGTCCTTCCCACAGGGCTGTGTTGGACTTGATCTGTAACCGTTTCACTTATTTGGTTAAAATACGTCATTTCTTTTATTCTGTGTCTGAATTTGTCACTGTTTTCTTTCTTCCTTGCAAATCACCAGCAAAACCTCTAAATCTGGTTATTATTGAAAGCAAATGATCCACACTAATAACTTTTGAAGGCAGATGGAGTCAGTGAAGTTTAGATGCTGTTGTGACCTCTGACCTCTGTCACAGAGCCCGGTGGCATCCTCTCTCCAAAAGAAAGCAGAAACCTTTCTCACCACCAGTGTGTTGGTTGCTGTGCAGCATCGTTCTCTCGTGTCACTGTTGCTAACGTGTCACAGTTCATAGCAGCCTCCTGCTCTCCTCCCTGTACCTCCACCAGCCTGTAGATGAGGACCATTAGAACAGAGTAGCTGCACCTCCAGGACTCAGGGCGCTTTGGCACAGAGGTTCAGCTGCTCGGTTTAATAAAGACCTCAAACTGTTCTGAGGCGCTGTGCCCAGGTGACCAGGACTGAACACTCAACACAGCTGCGGTTTGTTCAGATGGTTTATTCTTGCTAAAGAGGGCCATCCTCTTCAAACAGAACAAAACATATCGTCACTCTAAAAAGCGTTTCCAAGTCTAGAATGGAAAGACAGACGAGACGTAACAAAACAATAAATACTCATCCGAGCACATTCTGGTTTATACTACTGACGTTGTCATGGAGACGGCGGGTACAACCACATCAGGCAGCGTAAACCTTGTACATAATCCTGTCAGATGTGTGTTGCACCACCTTGGAGGAAGGAGCGGATTCATCTTTGAATCCAGCCCAGTTGGTTATTACATACATGAGGATTTGGGAGCGGGGACAGGCCGGATTGCATTTCTCTACATTTATTTGTGGCCTCATGATTTAGATATCCTAATACCCCAAAACGGGTAATACAAGTTCAAAAAGAAAACCTTTCAATGGACAAAGGAAGAGAAACTGAACCCCTTTAGGGAGGCTGGATGGGGTGAAAGTGACAGGAGGCCGAGGTGTGGGCAGGTCGTGATGAACAAACGGGGAGCAGGGGTGGCTTCTTCTGGGCTCTCTCATTCTATATCATCCTCACTCAGACTCTGTGCGCTCACGATACGCTGCAAGACAGGAAACAAAGGTCCTCGGCTTTATGGTTTGACGTGTGCATGACTGATGAACACTTTAGAGATGATTCAAAGACTCCAGAGTTAAAACTGCTCGACTCCATGTCCTACATGCTGTCATAACTGATCCTAGAGCAATTCACAAACCTGGCTGATACTGGGCAGCTTGGTGAGCAGCATCTGGAAGACTGGTGGAGGCAGAGTCTGCTGCAGCACCTGTAGTAGCTGCTGAGGCTGACCACACACAGCGATGGCGTTGGTCAGGTGATCCACACCTTTCTCGTAGTCTCCTGTAGTCAAAGCAAAAGGAAACAAAAGCTTATAAGCTCCACATGCAGGCGTCTGTACCCATACTGGGTGTCCCAACAGCAGGGAAGGAGCCATTTTAGCGCCGCAGCAAGGTCACCACTGGCTGTACTGCAGTAAACCGTTTGACCAGTTCAGTGGTACGAGTTTCAATAAAGAGTAAATTACCCTGAGCCAGCAGCTCCTCTCCCAACTGGATTTCCTCCAGGAAGAACTTCTGCACAGCTTCAGCATCCTTCAGATCTGGAAGCTGCACAACAGTCACAGTAAGCAGTCACAGCTGATTTCTGTCACGTTTGTGTGAAGTAGCTTGCAGTTGTACAGCAGAGTCAGTATCAGTGCTTTGGTTTGAAGTTGTCCTTTAATGTGGTGGGTGTCAGCTTTAATACAGAAACACGGTCAGCTCCATGCACGCGTGTGCACATGTAAAGGTGCAGGCGTGTAGAGACTGCTCACCTTTGCCAGGCCTGCCCTCTCTTTGGCAGCCTTCTGCTTTCTTCTCCCTGTGACAAGAACAGGACAAACTGCTCATGTTGCTCCAGCCCTCAAAACATGTCCATCTTGGTTTTAACAAGAAAGTAGTCTTAGACAGTCGCTGCTACACTCACAAAGTTACGAGTATAAGACAGACACAGAAATGGGCTTAAAGCTAAACTAGCTCCAAGTTCAGCTTCTGCTCCCTCAAATCAACTATTTACTGGAAATTTAGGCCTGATTTTTGTAGGCCAGTGATTATTTGTCACCGTGTCGTCCAGCTGACCATGTTCAGGTGACTGGTAACAATTACAAACTGCCTGCAATACAAAGACTGGAATGTGTTTATTTCTGTTTATACACAGTTTGCTGCTTCGGCCGTATTCCCTGAAGCAAATTTAACAAACTCCAATTTCAAACTTTTAGTGTCCCCCAGAACACCTGAGTGCACCATGGCAACGGGTAAATAAACAGTAAAGCCTTGATTATAACCCAGAGGACTGAGGAATATGAATGTGTGCCAGCGTGGGTCATATTTCTCTCAAAAATCACGCAGGACAGAGTTATTTTAATCAGCTTGGTCCACTCCGTCGTTACCATAGACAGAATATGATGCTCACACAAGTCAGGCAGCATTACTGTGGATAGAGCCAGAGTTACAAAGCTACAAATACACAATACAGATCTTTTTCTGCGCATGTTACCAATCTGTGGTGTAACTGCCGTCTCTCTTCTGCGCTTGTGTGAGAACACAAAATGGCAAACATACAAGCTGGGTTGTTGTTTGTAAGAAACTCTATGAACGAGCAAACATCAGTGTCAGTCAGCTGGTCCAGGAGCAGCAGAGGAGTCGGAAAGAAACTCAGAGCTGTGGTTTTGCTCACAGAGTCTGTTACCATGTACGTGAAAACCTGGAGTTTCCTCATGTTTGGATTAACTAACTGGAACAGGGCCCAATCTTCCTGGAATAACACGATAATCTCCAGCTGGCTGGAAGCCCAGCTAACAAGACATCATGCTAAATATGTTTGTTGTGTAATTACTTGAAATGGAAATAGCTTTGTGAATGAGTGTGTGCTGCAGGTCACATCACAGGATAGTAAAGCCTTTCTCTCACAGTGTTTAGAGTTTTGCTGGCAGGACAAATCTGGATGAGCACCTGGACGTATATAAATACTACCTGGTAATGTGGCCTTGGAGACAACTGTGTCAGAGGTTCTCTGAATCCAGCCTCCATAAGCTGCCCAGCGGCTCAAGTTTGAGGTAGCACACTTTAGACCGGCACTGGTATATTCAGTATATTTATGTGTGTACAGCCATATAAAAGCCTTTAATTTTGTGCCTCGAAATAGGGTTAGGTAACACCAAAATAATGGTTTGTTTTAAAGCACAGCCACTAATCGTATGCTCCCCTTTACAAATCATGTCACCAGTTATTTCTACAGATCCTTTTAGAGGATGGAAGAGCTCAGGATCCAGGGAGGGTGCAAAGAATGTGATTACTGTCACATCGTGGCTTGTCAGCTACAAACCCATTAACTTAACGATGTGAGAACATGAATGAAGTCCCAGCTATGCTTTGTTTAATTTACTGAATTGATTGTAGGGCTCCTCCACAGTCTCTGGACAAGCTAACTGGACCGAACGAAACCGCCCGGTGTCCGAACCAGCGAACCCGGCGAAGGTGAGAAAAAGAGCAGCGAGGAGGTCAACACTCACGTTCTCGTAGCCTGTTCTTGAAGTTCGGGTCATTCCGTCGTTTCCTGTCGAAATAAATACAGTAACCGACAAAGAGAGCCCCGCATACACCCGCCGCTATGGCACTCGTCCTTCCGCCCATCATAACTCGAAAGACCCGCTCGGTTTTTGGAGGATTTCGGGCTAATCTGGATTTTTTACCTCCGGTTGTCGTTTTCTGTCAGGCGGCTGATGGAGCGGCTCAAGGAAGGAAGGACCGTAAGGACCCCACCTTTGACAGCTAGTAACCGCCTGAAAACGCCTGACTGAAAATGAGACAAACGAGCCATTTTCTCAGGCAGTTTGCCTGTAAATGATCAAAAGGTTGTAGTCAAGTGAAAATAAAAGTCTGTTCCAAATATGTGTGGTTTACACAGATTATCAGGTACATATGATAAAACAGCGAATTTGAGAATATAACGGCAGTTTCAGCTACATTATATTTTGTGTTAGTTTCTTTGTAAATACGATACACCTCTGTTATCATTTGGTTTTATGTTGAAGAGCTCATTTCTAAAACCTGCACACAGTTTTTTTCTGGTCCTCGTTAAAGAATACACGCCAACTGGTTTATTTATTTGTTCTTTTTTTTTTTTTTGATAAAGTTTGTTTTCAAAATAAATGAGCGCCAGTGACGTCATCCTAAGCCACATAAACCTGTGTTTAGTTTTCGTTTATGTTTTTTTTTTAATTGTACAAACTAACAATTACAGCGCATATCTTACAAGTCAAAAAGATGTGTACAAGTACAGGTGGTTAAGAACAAAGCAGCCATCGAACAAAGAACAAAAGAACAGTATAGGTCAGAGATAACATAAAGCAACATACAAGTACATTAAGTGACCTTCCATATAAAAGTAAAAAAGTTAAAAACAAAAACAAAAAAACAAAAGTACGCACACACAGTCTAGCTACATCAGTTGAAAAGCTGCATCACAAATTACCTTTATTTAAGTTACACTTGTCTAATGAAGCCTTCAATAGGAGGACTACGTGGCGACCGCGGCTCAGGGGGTTGGGAAGCGTATCTGTAACTGGAAGGTCGCCGGTTCGATCCCGGGGGTCTCTGTCCTGGTCGTTGTGTCCTTGGGCAAGACACTTTACCCTACTGGTGTTGGCCAGAGGGACCGTTGGCGTGATATGACCGCCTTGCTTCTGTCAGGTTGTGGCTACAACCGTAGCGGCCTCCGTAGCTGCCTCCACCAGTGTGTGAATGAATAGTGGTATTGTAAAGCGCTTTGGGTGCCTTGAAAAGCGCTATATAAATCCAATCTATTATTACTACATTATTAAATACCAGAAAAAATCGGAATAATTTTCAAGAAGCGACATTTGTGAATGAAAAATTTTGCAACTATAAATAAGTTGTTAATCCCAAATTCTATTTTTTTTATTTTCTGTTTGTAGGCCAAATATAATTACTTGAAAGGTTAGAGAAGGGCAGTATTTTTTAGAGGGAATGGCTTTCACAACTTTAATGAATTTACTTTGAGTATGAAGCTAAAATTTTATGGCACTCGTTATAAAAGTGTCACAGTTGTGGCTCATTTTGACCCAGCATTTTCAGTTTCTTGTATTTTGGTATTTTTCTGTACAAAACCGTGACAAAAAGCTAACAAAAGCCGGTACTGAAACACACCAACCTAATTACAGCAAACAAAATATCACGTAAGGAAATGTAGGAAAAGATTTTAGGGAACCAAGTTACATAACACTGGTGTGACCATCAATCTTTGATTCTTCTAAACCAGGGGTGGGCAACTCCAGGCCTTGAGGGCCGGTGTCCTGCAGGTCTTAGATGTGTCCTTGAGCCAACACAGCTGATTCAAATGGCTAATTTACCTCCTCAACATTTCCTGAACTCCAGAGACTTGGTAACAAACTAATCGTGTGCTTCATGTGTGCTGACCAGTGTTGGTCAAGTTACTTGAAAAAAGTAATCAGTAACTAATTACTGATTATTTGCCCAAAAAAAGTAATCCCGTTACTAAATAAAATATTTTTTGTGTTTACACTCAGTCTTTCAAATAGATGCAAGTAAAACACAGCAGAAAATAAATAAAGTCAAAGACTCAGCGGTCCTGTTG